AGAAGAAGAAGAAGAAGAAGAAGAAGAAGAAGAAGAAGAAGAAGAAGAAGAAGAAGAAGAAGAAGAAGAAGAAGAAGATACTTCAATCCAGTGTTGCAAAAATTATTCTCTCTGGAAATCTTTCGAGAATATCCGCTTTCTACCTGGTTCCTCCCTACAGTCTTCTTGGTGGGTTTTCTGCTGTTTTGATTTAAACCCAATTTCCTCTCCCCTGCTTGACAGACAAGGGGTTGCCTGCTGATCTTGTGAACGGCTTAATTCTGTAGAATAGAACTCTTACGTGCCAAGCTGGCACATTGGCAAGAGCCTGGCCCAGCAAGACAACTTTTGATTTAGCTCCACGCAGTTGCTCCGTGGAGGTGGCGCAGAGTTTAACGGAGAACGTTCAGCATATCTCCCCAAGCAAAATGGAAGGGGCAGTGGGAATAGGGGTCTGGGGGAAGGCAGCCCTGCTTCTTTTCCACTGATTAGATGTGCCCCTCAGGAGAAGAGCACTCCAATCTGAATCCTATTCAACTCTATTTTAGCAACCCTAAGGGTCCTGTTAGACAAACAGACTTCCAAACATGAACACAAATTGTGGATGTTTTGTAGGAACATCTGCACAAATCTGAAATGTGCTACTCTGTTCTTATAGTGGGGTTGACATTTCACACCATCCTCTTTCTTTCCAGCATGTTCCTGAGCAGCTAGTACTTAAAAAGCCATCCCAACTTTTTGAAGGCACTGTTGAGCCAGTGTTTAAGCCTGTTCGGGGCCACCATGCTAAGCACAGTTACTAGGGAATAAATTACCCTGAACTGCAAGTTCACACAATGTGCTCAATGGAGTCAGGTCAAGATCTAGTGGCTACATCTTTGCCACATGTAACCTTGGTTCATGCTTATGTAGGACCAATGTTGGAATAACCTAGTTGGAATCCTTCAGTGCATTTACTGGGTTACATGTTTTGCAGTGCCTGTGTGTATGAGAAGTAAGGAAGTGACAGCCTTGTGAGGTAGTCCAGACAAGAAGCACACCCAGAAGTACTGGGCTCGAACTTTATTGTAAGGTTACATTAACAGAATCTTGCAAGTCCGAAAGGACATCTCTCCCCCGTCACTTTACAGCCTAAGAAACTGGGGAGGGTCCTTTCTGAGACATTTGCTATGCCCCCATTCCTTCTGTGGGCTCAGTTACCTCTTATCTGACTATTGCCTAGTCTGCAGCTCTTCCTCCTGTCCCTCAAGGCCATTCCCTCATACCGTTACAGGAAGTCTAAAGACTCCAAAAAGACAATTAAGGAAGTGACATATCCTGAGAGAAAGCCTGTATTGCTGACCTTTATCTTGTCAGGGTGGGGAAAAAGAGAGGAAGGACAGAAACTCTCTCTTCTTCCTATGGGAAGCAGGCTGAAGAGGCAGGCTTAAGTGTGCCAGTCTTCCAATCTGGAGAAAGCACAGCCAAGTCAAGGAAAGGAGCGAAGAGGGAATCTCTTGCTTGCTGTCTCAATTCCATAGTGGTCAGGAGGAGAAAAGGTGCAAGGAGACCAGGATTTCTCCATGGCAAACGGGTGTGACTTCTATGTTGTTGTATGTAGGCTTGCATTCTTGGTGTCACTCAGTTAAGATAAAAAAATATAAAGGTCTCTGGAACCACGCTTCATAATGACGTGATGTTATTCCAAAAGGAAAGTATACAGTATACGTGCAAGCAGGGAATGCAGTGTCTGCTGGGGAGATCACCAAGAAGAGCTCTGAGAAATCTCCAGTGTACCAAGCTAGTACTAATGTATTTCAGGGGCAGTGGGAGAGTCTACTACCACTGTGATAATGAAACTATCGAAGTGGTAGATGGTGTCTTCCTTTTAGGGTAGACTATCAACAGTACCCCCTTCATGGATCGCTGCCTTGTCGTTGCGAAGGGGCTTGCGTAACTCAGTGAAGCCATGAGCTATACCGTGCAGGGCCACCCAAGAC